CGCGGCAGCATCACACACTTACACACTCACGGGGGCGGAGCCTGGACAGCTCGAAGCCGCGACATGGAGCAGGCACGTTATCATCCCCGGATCTGGCAGGGGCTTGCCCCGCCCGCCCTCGCTGCCTGGGAACCCCCTCTGTTAAAATCAGCTGGTGGGAGCGGCTGCAGAGCTGGGGACTCTGACCGGTCCCTATCCCGGGGCCTGGGACTCGGGGGCAGTCACCGGGAAGCAGGAGGTGGGCTGGCGGGGCCGGGACGCAGGCTTGGGGAATGGGACCCCTCTCTGATTCCTCACCCACACCCACCGCTGGGAGTTACTGTTTGGAACCAGAAAGGAGGAAACAAACTGCTGTGGGATTGGGGGTCGACCCTGCTGCCAGGGGCTGAGTCCCTGTCTGGAGAGGTTCCTTGGGCCCCTGGTACCAGAGCAAACTTTTGTGGGCCTAGGCAAACCTGGGGTCTGCAGCGCAGAGCACACGGGGCCAGGAAGGAAAAGGCAAGTCACCTTTACTGTCCCCGTGGCGCCGCGTGCCTGTACCCAGGGGACCGAGGGGACCTGCTTCAAAGCCATGTCGGACTCAAATGCGCGGCGCGCACCTAGTGGGTCAACAAGCTGTGGCCCTGGATTCAGTGGGCGGCAAGGATCGATGCAAATGACTGCCCTTGTGTAGCTCAAAGCTAAGACTGTCACCTTCCCCTCACAGCCACCACGTGCCTAGAGCAAAAGACTTCTATGCTTTCCTCCTTTGGGAAATGGGAAAACCGCTGAGTGCGTGTCCACTATACCACACACTTGCTACCCATTCCCTCCCAGCCTGCAATTCTGTCTCTCTGCATGTGGAGGGCTTAACTGAGCCTTCTTCAGCCTCCACTCTGGGACCAGGAAGGGGTGGGATCCATTTAACCAGTTCCCTGAGGGAATGATTTCCAGGCCCCCATGAAAAGAAAGGTGTTTCAGAAGGGACAGGACCCATTTCTGTCCACACATGCTCCTGGAATCCCAGACGTCTCATTGCCTTCTTTGTGTAGTTATCCACAAAGGTAATGGTACTGGCTCCTTACCCAGATCTGAAGGCCAGAACGCTCTTAGGAAGAGCTGTAGACTAAGCATTGACAGAGCAGGGTGCCAGTGGCTCTCTGTGCCACTCTGAGCAAGTCATTTCTCTGGACCTCAGTTTCTCCATCTGTAAAGTGGGGAACTTGACCCAGTAGATTTCTGGCTCATACTGCTCTGCCATTCTCCCTTCTATTTGAATATGCTTCTCTAATATTTTCTCATATTCTCAAAATCCCAGAAGAAACAGTGGCCCCCAGACTGAGGAAAATGCTTAAGATCTGACATTTCCCTTAAAAGGGAATCCAGATTGGAACTTAGAACCTGGGAACCTCATCTAGAGCTGGGGCCAGTAGAAGGTGCTACAGTTCCAGGCTTGAATGGCTTCAAGATGTGAGCTACAAGGGGCCCAGTGTTTGAGCTCTCTCAGTTTCTTCTTATAGCAAAAAGCATATCATTAACATACAGAAACAAGATCCTGCAATTCAAGCATCTAATGGGGCTTTGCTCTGATGTTTATTGTGCATGGTACCAAATATTCAACAGATGCTAATTGATTGATGGAAAATGAACCAGTGGGCAGCCAAGAGAAGACATCTCCAACTGCCTTGTCGATCTGGCTACCTATAAACTCCTCTGGTCAAAGACTCCATAGCAAATGAACTATTGGCAAAAATGGGGGGTGGGGGAGGGATTATTTCTTGTACCTTGTTTATTCTTGGAATTCCAGTCTTCATCCCTAGACTATGAGCCCTTAAGACAACAAGGATTGCCTAGCTCAGATCTGTGGCCTTCAACCTTCATGCCCTCATTAAATGACCTCGAATCGAATTTGATTGCTAATAATGATTGTTGCCAGGGTTAGTGCTAGATCTGCCTGAAAATCCTTAGAGGAAAAGCAGAACATCTACAATTAACATTTAAATGATGATTATGGTCACTTTGTGTCTGGTTTACTTTTCTCATGAGATTATATTGATTGGAGAAAGACAGAAAAATAATATGCTAGGTAAATAAATGTTCAACAGAAATAAAGCTGTTCCTTTAAGAGTTCCAGACCCCCATCACCCCACTGGTGCACTTTCTTCCCAATCAGCAGGAGGACAGAGCAGAAGCAGAAGGAGTCAGCAAGAGGCAACACTCTGAACAGAAGTGCCTGCGGGAAGGAGAGAAGAGACAAGTGGTGCTGGCTGCTGCTTCAAAAGAGGGGCAGGGGCTTTCCCTTCCTGAGATCAAAGTCAAGCAGGAAGGCTAGACTTGGTGGAAGGAGCTTCCACCTCCTAGCCACCTTTCTAGAACAGGGATGAGGCCAAGGGAGGCAACCTTGACCTTGACAGGGCCAGGCCATCCCAGAGGCCACTGGATTCATGCCTGGCACATGATCAGTGTCTGAGCATCAGCTATTGGGCAGAGCAGATTCATCTTCTCAAATCCAAGGTGTGCTTTCTCCCTTTTTCCTCCTCCTCTGTATCCCTGGCTTTGATGGGTCAGGAGCCTTAGAACTCAGCTATTTAGTGAACCCTCAGATATGTGTGCACACATGCTATATCTAAGCTGTGCTTCCCCCACTAAAAGCTGGCAGGAGGAGGGGCGGCTCCTGTGGCTCAGTGGGTAGGGCCCTGGCCCCATATACCAAGGGTGGTGGGTTCAAACCTGGCCCCAGCCAAACTGCAACAAGGAAATAGCCAGGTGTTGTGGCAGGCACCTGTAGTCCCAGCTGCTTGGGAGGCTGAGGCGGGAGAATCGCTTAAGCCCAGGAGTTGGAGGTTGCTGTGAGCTGTGACGCCGAGTCACTCTACTGAGAGCAATAAAGTGAGACTGTCTCTACAAAAAAGAAAAAAATAGCTGGCAGGAGGAAAGGGAAAGCAGTTTGCTGAAACCTGGTAGCATGAGGAAATAAAAGGGCTATCTGGCGACTGAGCCCACTGCTGCTGTCATACTGGCAGCTCAGCCATATAGCCTGGATCTGGGGAGGTCAAGTTTTTCCCTTCTATTCCACTTCCTAGGGTATCTTTGCTAAGGTGGAAGACTCATCTGGGCCAGCATGTTGCCTGCCACAGGCCCCAACCTCAGGACTCTCAGTTCAACCCAAGATCTCCAATGCTTCTCTCCCTCTGACCCTCCTCTCTCAGCTGGCTTCTCCCATTCTGACTGCCATGCTCCCTGCACCACACCAATCTCACCCATTGAGAAAACCCCAACCAAGAGGAGCCTGCTGGGATCATTGGGCCAAAAGAAAGCCATCTTTTCAGACAAGAAAGCATCAGAACTAAGACTCCATGACCCAATCTGTTGAAGTGAAGCCAGAAATCATTTTTTAAGAGGCTTAGTTTCATAGAAATGCTGATTCTCAGATTTTCTAACATGAGATTCTTGACTTGAATTACTTTTAAGGGAGTTTAATTTGTAGTCTCCAGGTACTAATCTTCATTTCAAAGAATTTGAAATCCTCCATTCATACAGTTGTACTAAAGGCACTGTCATGCAGGGTCTGGTAGATAGTGTCTACAAATTAAGATTAATTTAAGAAAGTTTCACCATGCATGTCAGTTCTAGGAAATGAACAAATTGACAGCCTGTGATACATGTGTCATCCTGTCACACCTTAGATTTCCACTTAAAATATTAAGCATTTGTTTCTGACCTGGTATGCTGTCAAGCTGACTTACTTTCTCGGAGGAAATTGTGAACAAGGCTACACCTTGTCTGAGGAAGCCTGTTAGAGATAGTTCCATGGGTTGCATTGGGACCACCATTTTCCATTACTGTGGCTCTTCCTGTGATAGAGCATCCTAGAGTTGCCATGAGTTTGAAATTGACCAATACTACTCTCTGAACTTGGGGAGGCAATTTTCACAAGTGGACTGTAATCTCTGAAATGAACCTTGTCAAAGGAACATTTCATCGTTTCTAGGCTTAGAATATCTGTACTTACTTGTTCCATTTCAGTCCTCCCCAGAAACTGTAAACCTCATGGAGCCAGAGCCTAAGTCCATGCCATCAAAGCCTAGTACAGTGTTTAACACCTAGTGAGCCCCTCCAGCGTCTATCCAACCAGTCTCTATGTAGGTGGCAATCCCAGGAGGTGATTTCAGAATAATTTTTGGAACTTAGGATGTTCTTTATGAATATACATATGTCATTTTTTCACAATTCCTGGCACTGCCACTTTATACTTGGGATATCAATCATGGATTATGATTGAAAGACCCCATCCACTCTTGGTTTTTCTGGTTATGGTAGACAATGATCCCATTTCAGGGATCTTCCAAAAGTCCCTGGCTCTGGGTTCCCACTGGGTCCTAAATATCAAACATCATATAAGTTTATGTCCATCATCTTCTTAATAAGGCTTAATGTATTTGGAGGATGATGTTATTCCGGTTTTGTATGGTATGTTGCTATAATTCTTTGTGTATATTTATCATAACAATAAAAATAGATAACATTGATCAAGTCCTTATTATGTAATGGGTACAGTGCTAAGCATTGTACATACTTTATTTCATTTACTCCTCACCATGATTC